CACCACTAGTTTACTTCATAAATCAAACTGGAAAAAATCTTTAAGAATGTGAGAAAAATGCTGGCAGCAACATGCTTCTATATTTTATTTTGACACCGGGAACCAAGGCAAAATTTCTCTTCTTACCCCAAGTTTTACAGCATCCATTTCTGTAGAATGCAATGTAGTGCTCACTTCGATCGTGTCACGTTACTGGATTTTGAGGGGAGCAGCCAGATCACTGCTGCACCCATGGGGGGGTGTTGGCCCCAAAAGTGGCACAAAGGGGGCCATGTGAGGTGTCCAATAGAAGCCTACTTTCTTCTGATTCCATATATGCTATTCATGTGATTGTGTAATGTCGGTATGTGAAGTTATAAGCATGTATTTTGTGTGGATACCAAATGTTTCTCTATATGTGGTTGAACTATGGGCAAAGCAGCTCAGCCTATGGACATGCTAACAAGCAAAGCTCTGGAACAATAGCCCTCTATAGGCCAAGGACACACCTCAAGAGTGGTGACTCATACCTAGTGGCTACCAGCAGGAAACACAGGGATAGGCCATGGGCCAGGTGACCTGCTGTAGCCAAGAAGAGACCAGGAAGGAGGGATAAATAGGCCATGTGGTCGACTCCATCTTGGTACTCAGCTCAGCCCTTCATCCCAGAGGCAGAAATGCAGGGATTGAAGGGCCGGAAAGAACTGTGGACCCATCCTGATCCCAGGATGCGCAACAAGGACTTTTAAGCCAGCAGCTGTAACATCTCTGCTAGAGCCTGCATCAAGACCTGAGAGATTCGATGCATGTAATGTACTATCCTTTAACAACCTTACTCTCATGCTTTTCTTTATTACAGTAATAGACCTTTAGATGTTAGATGCTAAAGGATTGGCTCAGCGTGATTTGTGGGTAAGATCCAGAGGGTAAATTGACCAGGGATCTGTGCCTGGTTTCTTGGAACCGGACAGAACTTGTTCGGGGTAGGTGGGATTGGGTTCTAAGACCTCCCCCCCCCACCTGTGTATGAGGCCCGGGGCCACCTGGGGCACGGGTGTATGAGGCCCGGGGCCATCTGGGGCACGGATATTGCTGGGGTATCGGAGGGGTTTTGCTCGTGAGGCTTCAGGCAGGCAGCTGAAGCGCTCTGTGGGACTGGTTTGTGGCCTGTTTGGAGAGGTCACCAGTCTGGAGACTGTAAGGATCGGGCGCCCTCAGCTGTGCCCAGACTTGGCCTGGTCTGTCACAGTGGTGTAGTTGGCAGGATCCACAGATCTTGGTCAACTGTGGTTTGGATCAGGACCCCACGCTGTCTAAATTTGATTTTTGGTGTTGAGAGTTTGGTTGGTTAAAGAGCCGCTGCAATGAGCCAGGGACTATATGAGAGTCTGGGCAAAAGTTCTCTGAAGGATTTGTGCTCGGGGAGAGGCACTGCCCTTAGGAAGAGGGCCTCTAAACTAGAACTGGAATTGTTACTAGCCAGAGATATGGCTGAAAGGGAGCAGAAGCGAGCCAAGGAAGCTGCTGAAAGAAGGCAGAAGGCATATGAAGAAATTGCTCAGAGAAAGCAGGAGCTGGATTGGGAACTTGAGAAGAAAAAGGCAGAACGTGCGAAGAGAATGGCAAGCCTTGAACTTCAGCTTAAGAGACTAAAAGAACAAGAGAGACTGTATCCTCCTGAAGGTTCAATGTATAACTGTGGGTATGTGGTATGCTTATGATATGGCAGACGTATTTTGCCCAGCTGATGTGATGACCCAACCCCAAAGCATGTATGAATGCAAACCTTTTGTGTTACCTGTAGCTAATAGGGAGGTTTGGGAAGGGGGTACATGTAGCTATGGAAAGTTTCCTGGAGCTGGTCAGTCTTACTGCAACCAAAGGGAAAGTGTCTCTAAATGTGTGCCTGTGGCAGATAGCTGTGTGTCTGTGCAGGGGGGCAGTGAGCCTGTGAGTGAAGGACCCAAGGGCTTGTCTGATGCCTCAGAAGTGAGGCTGGAATCAGAAACAGGGCAGGAAAGCCCAGAAGTCAGGGAAATGTTTCTCTGGGTCAGCCTGGAGTGGCTGGCCAGAGTGAAGGTTTGTAGAATTGAACCTACACAAGGTGAAAAGGAGTGGTGTGAAGCACAGTGTGTGCAAGCTGGCAATTTGGCTGGTGGAAGTAGTGGTGGGGCAGTAAAGGAAGCTGTCTCAGTGTCTACCTGTATGCCTCAAATTAGCCAGGGGTATTGGGACAAGGGAGAAACTGTCTCTGGTTGTCTGTCTGTTTGTGGGAAGAGTTTCTTCCTTTGTCTGAGAAGGGTGCCCCACAGCCTGTGTTGGCGGAGAGCAGTGCTGTTGTCCCAGAGTTGGGTATGGATACAGCTGAGGCCCAGAAAGGAGGTGTCTCTTAAGTTTGTGTCTGCTGGGGAGGAGGATGCTGTGACTTGGGTAGATCCAGGCACGGCCCGGTCCATCACAGATCGTCATTAACACTCAAACCTGCAAATGCGTATTTGCTAAGATGGTTTCCTGTAGCATACTTAAAAGCAACAGCCTGCACGGTATTGTCAGTTTACCTTTACTGTCACATACTTGAAAATGCTATCAAGAGAAAAGCAACAGAAATAAAATTGAACATGGGTTTCATTTTGAAAGCTGCATAGAGACTGAAGAGACCTGTACAATGAATGGCATTCAAGAATTCATGTGGCACTATTAATAGTCCAAAGAAATGGGTGCAAACAAAAATATTAAAATATTTATAAGCAATCAGGAATGGTAATCTAAACAGGGCTATGTGTGTTACATCAGGAATGGTAACACACAGAGACCTGCAGGGGAACATTTTAACCTGCCTGGGCACTCAATCAAGGATTTAAAAGTACCCGTAACAAAAGAATTTTCACTCCTGACTCAAGAGGGAGCCTGCAAAACCTGATTCTGTTTGCAAATCTGATTCTATCAATGTGCGCTTAACTGGTTAACACTCTATAAAGGCAACTTCCCCTCTTTCGAGATAGTCACCTATCTACATCCACCCTGGCAGAGCCGCACAGACTTAATTTGATTTCCCAGTAACCTACCAGTTTGCCAGGCAGTTTCAAAAGCCAGCAGAAGACAAAGGGCTGATCCCTTCCCTGTGCTTAAATAGATTCTCCTCTGGGGCAGGAATCTGTTGTTTGGCAGCCCCTCCCATCACTCCCCATGCAAAGCTACCAGGCACTGCCCGAGCTGGTGGCCAGCCCACTGGCAGGTGTCCCTTGTCAGCCTGCTCCAAGGTGGTGAGGTTGGGTTCAGTCGGGAGGGCCGGGGGAGCCTGGGCAGATCGGCTGGGATAGCTCAGCCCAGCTGCTCCTGCCTGAAGCCAGTTTCCCTGAGCGCTTTGGGAGGAAATACTTGTCCTGAACTGCCCTGCTAGCACAGCCCCTTAGCAGTGACCCCGCTGCTGGTGTCTCCGTTACAGTAGCCCAGCCCACGGCTGCACACTGCCCACACAGGGGCATCCTGGTGCCGGAGCCCGGCAGAGCCCACTGGGCCGGTTCTGCCTTCCCTGCGGCTTGGGGGGTGCTGGGGCCGGGCGGCTCTTTAAGGTGGTGAAAGGAGAGATCTGAGAAGCATGGAGGGCAGTGGGGAGAGATGCACCTGTCGTTCCCCGTCACTTCCTCGTTGTGTGATCGAAGGACACGTGTAACTCTCCAATTCCTTCCCTGGCACGTGTGTCAGACAAGGGGTCACCTGCCACCAAACACCGTGGGAAGGAGGGGCCCTGCTACTCCCCTTTATCACATTGCTCAGGAGAGGGGGAAGAGGCGGGGAGGGGGTGGAGCAAGGGAGAGATGCACCTGTCGTTCCCCGTCACTTCCTCGTTGTGTGATCGAAGGACACGTGTAACTCTCCAATTCCTTCCCTGGCACGTGTGTCAGACAAGGGGTCACCTGCCACCAAACACCGTGGGAAGGAGGGGCCCTGCTACTCCCCTTTATCACATTGCTCAGGAGAGGGGGAAGAGGCGGGGAGGGGGTGGAGCAAGTTTG